GCTTGTGCAGCCTGGCTGCTGCTGTGGTGAAAGGCGGGAAGCACAAGCTTGGGGTCATTACCCCCATGTCCAACAGGGCTCACCGCTCTCTGCCGTGGCGGTTGCCCCCCGGTCACGGCCTCCTCCACATGGCGCTTGCCGAGGACATTCGTGGAGCTGGACATTTGAGGAGCCGCTGGGGGGTGCGCACCGCTGCACTCAAGGTTGCCAGGGGAGCTCATGATCTACCGATGTGAAGGCTGTCTCCAGGAGGGCGGCGATGTTGTACAGGGTGTGTGGTGGCGCTTGATGGGGGGCGTGCGTGCTCGTCGCTAGAGTGGTTCAGGTGCTGTGCCGTGCGTAAGCTAACCGGAGGGGTGATGGCTTGAGATAAGAAGAACTTCATGGGGGGTAGGGCAGCATATCNCTCATGATCTACCGATGTGAAGGCTGTCTCCAGGAGGGCGGCGATGTTGTACAGGGTGTGTGGTGGCGCTTGATGGGGGGCGTGCGTGCTCGTCGCTAGAGTGGTTCAGGTGCTGTGCCGTGCGTAAGCTAACCGGAGGGGTGATGGCTTGAGATAAGAAGAACTTCATGGGGGGTAGGGCAGCATATCTTCTCAGCCGTGGGGTATTTGGACTTCGCGCCTTGGCGGGCTAGGTCCAATTTTTTTTGGTCGTTATTATGGTGTTTTTCACCCCAAACAAAGCTGACATTTAAAACTCGTATTTGCCAAATTCACCGGACTGTGCGGGCATTTGGGCAAATTTCTGAGTTTTAAATAACTCTAGCGGGTTCGAGGTTACAACTACTAGACCACCGGGACGACGGATGATAAAAGATTATTCCAAGCGGGGTTCGAACCCGCGACCTCCACCATGTCAAGGTGGCGTCATAACCAACTAGACCATCGGAACGTGATCTTCACGGATTGTATTTACTACCTAAACTGTTGAGCTTCTTCGAGAGTGTTTCTAAGGTAACAAGGCCTTCAATTTGGTTCAGAGGATAGGTTCGTTCACATGCCTTGAGCTGTTAGCCGTAGAGCACCACCGAACACAACATAGCCGAACTCATTCCGATACAAATGCATCAAGACGAAAGTCGGCGTGTTCCAACACCTACAAAACCCCTGGGACATGGTATCAACCACTGCTGTATAGCTGGAGAAATATCGATGCACCGTAGCTGTGGCGACATATGGATGCACCAGCAGTCACGTCCAAACACACATGGAAGCCATCATGCTTCCAAATACAACACAGTCAGACTGCTGTCGGAACATTTCAGAATGAGAGCTACGTGGCGAAGAGTACATCCAGAAGAGGAGTTCCTTAGAAGCGCCTCGTGGAGTCGTTGATACATGTCACTAGAATAGGGTTCGGATCTTCGTATTGCAGGCCAACCGCCAAAACAAGGGATCACCGCTCAAGCGGATCTCTGGAGAAGCTCTTGACTAGACACCCAGCTACTTACATGGTATCACACTACCGGCGCTCCTGGTCAAAGCAGAAACTCACAAGCAATCGATTGGACTAGGAAGAAACGAAAATTCATTCCGCTACAGGACGATGTCTGGTGAGGCTCGATCCTATCTGTGTAGTCTAAGGGAGAGGGAAGACAACGAAACATTGTAGGGTTTCCCCCCGGGATTTCCTGTAGTCTAAGGCCGTTGTTTATCCGGTCCAGTATAGACTATCCGGTAGCGAATTCCCTGTGCTAAGTTGCTGTAGAAAATATCCTGTCCAGAGTCGGGCCGCATCGTGTCGGTTCGACCCGGTGCGGACCCCGTTTTCGTAGGAAAACTAGACTACAACATGTCGGAAAAAAATGCTGGAAACCCTACTTCCAGCGCAGGCGGCGCTGACGGCGGTGTGTGCGTGTGAGCGCCGTGGTTGTGTTATAGTTGGATAGCAGCTCGCTGTAGCAGGGCGCTTACAGCCATGGCGCGACCAGCGCGAGGGAGGCTGGCAGCAGAGCGGTACGCGGAGTGCATACTGTTGGGAGGTACCACAGCTGTAGTACGCTGGTTGGCGTATGTGGTAGAGGCTTGGTAGACAAAACAAAAAGAGTGATTTATTATCCACACACAGACGCCTGGACTGTCTGCACCTGACGGTGACAGTAAAACAGAACGCCTTCACAATACCGTATCAAACAAATACTGCAGAATAGAGTCGGTCTTGCACAGCAAACACCCCAACATGTCCTCTCAAGAACGTACGTCATTCTGATACATGAGACTCGAATCTTCTCTCGACGTCCTCTCAAAATAATGTCCTCTCGAAAACAACTCACGAGTACTTGCGATCTCAACTCAAAATTAACTAGTCATTACCTGCCATTTCAACAAGCAGCGAAAACATTCCTCTTACACAGATCTCCCGAGTTTCCTTCAACATTCAACCCTTAAGATTACCAAGAGGGGAGGTGACTACATTCCTAGAAGCTGGCGACGGTTGTTGAGAAACTTAACCGTTCCTAGGTTCTTGGTCAACATGTCAGCCTTCTGGAGGTTGGTGTCGATTCTCTTTACCTCCACTACCTTGTTAACGATCAGCGACCTTACGTGGTGATGCTTGACATCGATGTGCTTCGTTTTCTGCGTTACTTTGTTCGATTCACTAGTCGATATGGCAGCAGTGCTATCCTCAAACAACACCGTAGCCTCCGTCTGCTCTCGATTGATGGTCTTGAGAAGATGACGCCAGTGTAGGATCATTTTGCACGCCTTGGACATTGCGACGTATTCTGCCTCAGCCGACGACGTGGCAGTGACCGTCTGCTTTACACTTGTCGTGTCCACCGGGCCACCTGCGAGGGTAAGAACGACCCCAGTAGTCGATTTTCGATCGTCAAGATCGCCTGCGAAGTCAGAGTCGACGTAAGCGGTTAGTTTATCTCCGCCTTGCGCGTCCTTGCGGTAGGTGATGCCCAAAGAGGTCGTCCCCTTCAGGTAGCGCATGAGTCGTTTCAGTTTGGCAAGCGCCTTCGGTCCTGGTTTAGCCATGCTCTTCGTGAGTACCAGCACCGAGTGAGAGATGTCTGGCCTCGATCCCCTGCTGATGTATAGGACCGAACCCGTAGCCGACCGGAACATGGTAGTTTGCTCCGGCGACAGAGCATTTTCTTCCTTGGTCGTAACCGGCTCCTTCTCGGCCGGCGTTGCCGTCGCGCGCACGTCAGCCATGCCGAATTTAGCAAGCACGGCCTTGGTGTAAGCTTCTTGCGTCAGTAGGATGGTGCCCGCTTCGAGGTTGCGCTGGATGGCCATTCCCAGGATAAACTTTGCTTCTCCCAGGTCCACCGTCTCAAAGCGCTCCTTCATCTGTTCGATAATGGTCGTCACGAGCTCCTCTTTGGCTCCGGTAAGTAGGATGTCGTCCACGTCGACGAGCAGGATGACCTCTCCCCCGTTCAACGTGTACAGACACGGATCGGCGGTGCTCGGGACGAACCCGATCTCCAGCAGGAACAGGTGAAACGTCCCATTCCAGCTTTTCGGAGAGAGGCGTAGGCCGTACAGCCACGCCTTAAGTCGCCAGACCAGCTTTGTTTGCTCCTGCGAGCACGTGAACCCCTTCGGAGGTATTACGTAGATAGGTTTGTCTTTCTTGGACATCCTGGAGTTGAGAAAAGCCGTCTTCATGTCGGCCTGCCTGAGAGCTTGGCCAAAACCAGCAGCGTGGGAAACCACTAGATGGACAGATTCCATAGACGCCACCGGTGCAGCCTTATCCGCTCCCGTGTCAGCTTCGTGAAAACCTTGCACCACCACGCGACTCTTCGGGCGAACTGGCACATGTTCTTGGTTGTACTTCCACCTGTAGTGGAACCTAGTCGGAAGAAGTTGGGCGTCTTCGGGCGGAAGCACCCAGTCGAACACGTCGTGGTCGTAGAGCGACTGCTCTTCATCGTTCATGCTCGCTCTCCAGCGTGCTGCATCCGGTCCACTCATCGCTTCATCGTAAGTGGCAGGATCGGCAAGCATGTAGCCCACCTCCCCGGGACTGCCTCTCCCGAGGTTGCCGAAGTCACTTCCAGTCACCATAGCATGTTCGGTCCTCTCGTACGCCTGTTCTTTCGTAAACAGATTCAACCGTTGCGGCGCCACGGAGTTCCTGCTGCTGCGGCGAGGTGCCGGTGCTTCCGGCTCCGATTCGTCGGATGATTCTTCGTTATTTTCTTCTTCTTCTTCGATAGAGTCTACCAGACCAGGCCGATAGAATGTTGAGTTAGGCGCGGGGAGAGGATCTTGCCCTAGTTTGGGCTTGAGCCCGTCGCGCATCTCCTTCTCACGGAACGATACCTCCACGGAGTTGGTGATTTTGAGAGGCTCCGAAGGGTCCCAAAGTCGATACGACCTACCCTTGGAGTTGTAGCCTACTAGGTACATTTTCTTGGCCCTGGCCGCCAACTTGTTCGACCGGGCGCGTACCTCTTCGTGCCTAAAAGCCAGCGACCCCCACTCGTGGATGTGAAGCATCTGTCCGAGCGGCTTCCCCTCCCATACCTCGAGTGGTGCCTTGCCGCCCAGGACTTCGGTCGGGGTCCGATTCTTG